ATAGGTTAACCAGTATTTCCAACAACTAGAAAATCTAAACGGGTCAAATTGACCCACAACATAACCCAAGGGTTAAACGCCATGCTTGGAAAATACCACATTAGTAATGTTTGGGGAGTCAGATACCCCATAAAATCATAAATAAATGCAATAATTAAACATTTATTTATTTATTTAAATTTATTTATTTGTATTTATTTTGTCTGTAGTCAAATTGATCATTCTAAAAATGTATAAAAGTCACATTTCTGAAAAAAAGCATGCTTAATTTGATATGAGCTTCAAAACAATTAAATAATTTATAGGTTGAAATAAAAGTATTTTATAAACAATAATATTGTTATTTTCACATTAAACATAGGGTGCTTTGGGACCCTGTTTAAAAAGACCAATTTCATCAGTGAAAACTGTGAACCTGGCAACGATCCTCATACTATTCACAAATGACAGACCACTGACACTGAAGAGAATACGAACAGATTGTTTTCTTCTTTTCAGCGTTTCTTATGATTACTCACTATCTGCCAAAGCCAGACACAAATAGTCTCGTAGTTTTAATTCAATGTGAGATGAAAAGAGATTGTGTGTGTTGTATTTATTGTGAATCATAAAAAGGTCATTTATATTTTTTTCCTCTAAGCATGGAGATAGGCTTATTTCAGTATAACTATTATGTACTGTGAGATGTGAAAAACATGGTGTTTTTAGAAGATCAATAGCATTGAACTTCTTCATTGTTCATCTTCAAGTGCCTTTTCTGACATATTCACATTTTACACAATGCAACAACACATTGTGCTAGAAAATAAAAGATGCAGCTTTTTACAAGTCAGTTTAATGTATTTTAAGTTGAAATTACTTAAAGGAGTAGTTCACTTAAAAAAAACAAAACTTTTGCTGATAATTTACTCACCCCCATGTCATCCAAGATATCCATGTAATGGATAATGCCAAATGTCTTACCAGTAAAAAGTGGCCTATTAATTTAAATATATATAGTCAGTGACAGAGTGCAAGCATGTTCGTCTGAAATAATTCTGTATTTTCAGCTTCCGAATATTTCCACCATCATAAATAATTTATTCTGGTGTCAATATTGCCCTATGCATTGGGTTACCGCCAAGTCCAAGCCTATTCATTGCACCCACAATGTAATACCAAATTTTGCATCGCAGTACATTTTTTCGTAAACCTGTTACCATTTGCAATAATATCATATCGTGAGTTCAGTACCGTGATATATATCAAATAGTGACTTAAGAGTAACATTACACCCCTAATAATGACCAATGACCACATATTATAGTCACTGATGAAAATGCAGAACTAAAGAAGGAATTGTTTGTTGGGACTCTGACAGGTAGAATGAAAATAAAGATAAACACAACTCATACTTTCAGAATGTTGAGAACTTTATCATATTGGAATATGATGAAAAACGAAAAGATATTTGTTTTATTTATTGCACCTGTAAGCACTTCAAAGCTTTGGCAATATTTCAACTCATTACAGTCAATACAATAAAGCTCTATTGACTATATTAGAGAACGAGAGAGAAAAACATAATCAGACTGAAAAATGTAAGCAGACAAGGGAAGGTCAGAGTGGCAGCTGAATAGAACATCACACAAAAATGTTTCATAAGAGTGAAATTCTTTTGGATTTCTATTTTCCAGAAATGTACGGAATTTACACTATTTATGCAGTAACCATGGGAATATGTTTCCAGGGGATAGATAACATTGTTCACAAACTGTTCGTACATTAGAATGTTCAAAGGCAGTAAGATAGAACAGATTTAAAGGATTATGTTTTAAATGTAGACTACCATTCAAAAGTTTGGGGTCGGAAAGATTTTTGAATATTTTTGGAAAAAGTTTCTTGTCCTGCATTAGGCTGCATTTATTTGATAAAAAAATATTGAAATAGTGAAATATTATTACAATTTTTAAAAACTATTTTTGGTTTAATGTATTTTAAAATTACATTTATTCCTGATGGCTGTGCTGAAAATATTTTGTTAATATGCAGCTATATATATATATATTTATTATTATTATTATTATTATTATTTTTTTTTTTTTTTGCTTTATGGTGTTGCTGTTTGTGTTTATCATTGTGAGTAGCTGCATGGTGCCAAAAAAAGCCTTTGGTTGTTCTGTCTAGCAAAAAGTTGCCAATGGCCCTTGATCTTTATTTGCTGTATCCATGACATAAGTGCAGGTAAAGTTACTCAGCTCAAAGTCCCATTGATTTCTCTCTATGAGAGCAAGCAGCTCATAAATGTGCAAGAATGTAATATTTCAGAGGATTATGGGATGAGATTACTGATCCTGTTCAGGTTTATTGTGCCACTGTTGTCTTGGCTGATGTGGATTGTATGATTTCGACTGTGCGATTGTCTCCTGAGCAGACTCTTCAGGCTTTGGCATTTTGTATGATTGTGGGTGTTTTTCCTATGAACAGTTGGTGTGGCTCAAAGCCAGCACAAATGTTGTAGACTGCCGTCCCATCCTCCGTTTCTCCAACACTGTCAGGATGAGTTAATGGATACAATGTTTCTCAATTGTTCTCCATTGAACTGTGATGGTGTGAATGAAGGAAAGAAATAATCAATATTATCCGCCAAGAGACTGGAATAGAGTGTATGTGACTTTTGAAAGACTCCAATAATAGGTATTTACTGATAGATATGCACACCAAATTCATGAACTGTAGATGTAAACAAAAATGATATATGTTGACGGTTTACCCAAAGAACATCTCACTGGTTGTTATCAGAAAGGCTATTTTAATATTTAAGTTGTACACTTTTAGTAGCTAGTTTTTGCAGTCTTCAGTGTCAAAAAAGTGGCTGGCGTAAATTTTCAAGTACAATCAACTTGGATGTTTAAGTCAATTCAACTTAAATTACATTAAACTGACTTTAAAAAAATTTGTTCAATCTTGTATAACTTATATAAAAAGTTGAAAATTACTTATTTTGATGAGTCAGTATTTTATTGAAACTGATATATTTTTCAAGATTCAAATTTCATTAGCATTAAAAATGTATTTTAATCAATTTAAAGCCCACACGCGCACACACACACACACACACACACACACAGATACACAACTGGTTGTTATACAATCTGCAGTCAGCAAGAGAGTCAGAAAAGAAAGAAGGAGAGCACTGTGTATGGAAAATAAAAGACAAAATAATAGAGGGAGGCAAATAGCAATTAATTACAAATTCTCTTCTCTGTAATTAGCAAGAATCAGTTTGTCTGTTAATCCCTTTGTTCTTTTATTTTTCTTTACAATGCAATGTATTTTACTTGACAGGCAGCTCTGCCGTTTTTTAGCGAAAATTAAATGTAGGCCTTATTGCAAGAAGCAAATAATGTATAAGGGCTATTAAGGAAACCTTCTTCTTCGGAACTCCAATGCCACATGAGATAACCAACACGATGTTCCTAGAGAGAGAGAGAGCTTTGCTTTTAGCCAAGTGAGCAGCAGGGCTACAGATGGAGATCAACTGCTTGCTCTCTCTATCTCTCTCTCGGCTCCACAGACTGGGGTCTTACACCAATCACACTCCCAAATAAACACGCTCCCACCACTACGCACCCCATGTCTGCTGTACCCTTGTTAATTCTTCATGAAGGATTTCATGAAGAACTGCATCTCTGATTGATTGAACAAACCAGTCAAGAGTTCAAATTTCAATTGACATTCAAGAGTTTGGCCGTATAAGACTCCGAGGTGAATTTATTGGTTGGTTTACTACAGTATATAACTAGCTTGACTGTTACTTGCTAAGGTTTTGTAGCTAAAGATCAGTTGGCCCAGCCCTTATTGTCATATTAAACATTAAATTACTAAACAAAACTATGCAATATGGAAGCTAAGCTGGCCAAACTGAAAAAAATAATAATAAAATAAAATAAAAAATATTAATAACAAGTAGCTACAGCCTATTATTATTATTATTCATTACTCATTCTATAAAAATCATTAACATTAAAATTTACATTAACATTAAAATGCTTTTACCGCCACCTTTAACCAATTTAAGTACCATCGTGAACTAAAATGTACCTATACTGTGTATATTATATGTAGTATTGTATATGGCCCAGCCCTTGTTAGTATATAACAGTCCTATAGCCTACTGAAGCTATTGCAGTAGTAACATCAACCTGGCAAAAATGTGAAAATTAAATATTAATAATGTGGGGGGGGGGGGGGGGGGGGTATTTAGGTATTTTGAATTTCTAAATAGAGGTACAAAACAAACACTCCAGAGGATCAAATTCATTGTTCAATCATCATTCAGGCTAAATTAGGCAAACAATAGAGATCAAGAGAAGGGCACAAATCAATCTCTACGCTCTACATTCTAGTAAATATATGGACAGAAAGAGTATATGTGGTTTTCCAGTCACAGGTTCATAAAAGAAAAGCTTAATATTGATTGTTTGTGGAAAATTCTTACCTATGGCAGTCTTACCTATACTTAGTAGAGATTATTGGCCTTGTTAAAATGCTGTGTGGCCGATCACTTGTTGTCAGTCTTCAGTAGTAAGCAGAGCAACTGGTTGAATCACAGCCACTCATTGTCAATTTGTCAAAGATTGTTTTACTTTGCTTTGTGCTCTGACAGCCTATCAAGAGCCAGTGTGCAGTTAGACAGCCTGACAGCCTCATGTTGTGTTATTACCCCCGACTATACAGTAATGTGGAAAAATAGGACTTCAGAACAATAAGAATCCTTTCTGTGCAGTTTTCCAGTGCATTGGCAATAAAAGAGAAAGATTCAAAGGGATTTTTTGGAAGTCCTTTTGTGTACAGTCTCCTATAGCCTTGTTGCCATGTGAACAGCATGAGCAGGAAATTCCAAGCTTTTCAAGAGCCTTATAGACTGCACATATTAGGAATGAATTTAACCGTAATGTTCTTTTCTCTGATCAAATATTGCACTGAATGTTAGACTTCAAAAAGAGAGAACAAGAGTGTCATAAGGTAATTGTTTTTTTATTTGGTTCAATACTCTTTTAAATTAAACGTGCACGTCTCAGAGAGCCAAGACCCTATAATTTTTCACAAACTCTTTACACTATGCTTGGAAAAAGTGTGCATTTGATAGAAGCAGCAGAATGACAAGTCCTTGGATGCTTTAAATATGACCTTCAGTATTATATTTTTGCATTCAATGGCAGAAATTATCTTTTCATCAAATGCACTCACCTTGACCGATTCTTGTCTGGCTCCACATTTCAGGAATACTCTGTACATCTTGTTAAAACACTTCCTATAGATTTCTCATTCTTAATTGGGCTTCACCATGAGACACTAAACATGCCCGAGTGTGTAATAAACACATTAAACTAATCAACACTACTGAAAAGTGTGAGGTCTCACCCTATTTTTTCTTTCTTGTCTTTTTCCCAACAGTCACAACCCTCTTCAATCATTACCTAAACATGATTATCACAATCTGTGAGCCATCACACATCTGATATAAACCATCCTGTGCTGATGAGGCATGAATGGAGATGAGGGGCTATTTACACGACACCATTTTCAACTAAAAACGGAAAACTTTTTGACTGCTCATTTACATGACTAACTCTGTTTTGGCACAAATTTTTGAAAACAATACCGTTATAGCCTCTGTGCAAACTACAAAAAACATGTGAAAAAGGTGACGTCTTGCGCATGTGTATTACGTGTTCAGTCTATAGGCATGTAGTGTTTCTTTACAAAGTGACATCACCAACTTCTGGCCTGGCAGCATAATACAGCGTTTTTGTCATTTTACACATCCGTATATGAAAAAGGATTGTTTTGACGATTTCGTTTGTACCTGACAATTTTCAAAATCGCAAAAGAAAAACTTTTCTGTTTTTAGTACATCGCTGTCGTGTAAATGCTTGTTGTACAAGCTTGTTTGTTTTTGTGGTAATTTCAGCAAAAGTACAAATAATAGCACAGAGCTGGCATCAAATATTGATTTTCGGGCGCTTTGGAATTACAGAGGTTGAGAACCAACAGCATCGCATTTGTAAGAGGAACTGATACAGGACACACAAGTCAAATGGCATTAATGGTGTAATAGAAGATTTGCTCAGAACAGAGTGTTTGTTCATAGTGATTGATGCTTGGAGGGATATTGCTTATATTAATAAGTAGAACAAAGATACAGATCACAGATGTTATTTCATCACTGATGATGTGAGTCGATGAAAACAAGAAGCTGGGTACAGTTCACTTTTTGGGCTGTGCTGCTATATAAAGAGCCATAAGACAGTAGAGAGCTCCCCCGACTGTCAGAGCCATGGTGGTCCTGTACAAGAGTCTGTCTGGAACACCTCGCTTTAGATGGACAGGAATCTCATCTGAGGCCTAAAGAAGAAACCGGGAGAGGGAAGAATTATGCTTTTTTTCCCCCTCTGTTAAATAATGAGACAAAAGATTATCTTTTGAAGTATGTTGGAAGTTTCATTTCTCATTGACTGCCACTGTATTTTATGTCCATACAATAGAAGTCAATAGGAAGCGAGTGTTTGGTTACCAACATTCTTTAAAGTGTCTTATTTTATGTTCATTAGAAGATAGAAAGGCATACATGAGGTGGAATAAATTATGACAGAATTTTCTGTCATAAAATAAATTATGACAGAATAAATTATGACAGATTACTTTAACTCAACTACATAGCTTAATACATTACATACACACCTGAAATATCCTCTGGAGGTCTTGAACCTTGTTGGTGCCCATATACTCCACTGCAGTACCCGACTCAGACGCCAGTTTAGTTGGTGTGGCAAAGATGATTGTAGGGGATTCAGAAGGTATATTTGACCTCAACCCCTAAAGGAAGATAACAAACAGGTTAAGTTGATTTTTTCCCCCACTAGGACTAAGTAATATTTGTACCCCTCCCCTGTTTTTTTAATTCACAATTTCTACTTGATAAAATATATTAGAGCTATAAAAATGTATATTGTTTATAAATGTATTGTTTGAATATTTTATTAATTTACATGAATTTACCAAATCTTTAATTATTTTTTATTATTAGCATTAGCCCCCCTTGAAAGTTTTCTGAGATCCAGTGGGCCTGGTTGAGAACCGATGATGTTGCTCTCTAACTATTGACTTTTGTTGTGAAATGAGTTTAGGATTCTATTCTATAACCAGTGCTGATATTGATCATCTGTCAGAAAGAAAGACAAAAAATAATCCCATATTTAGGAAGTCATAGTTAAATGTAGCTCAAATTGCTCAACTAAGTTAACTGTACTCAGCAAGTAGATTTTGGTGTGTATAATCAGCTTTCTTTATTAATGAGACTGTATAATATTTTCCGAAGGCTATCTAACGACTGTTTATGGCTCACAAGGAGCAAGTAAAGTAGCAGCAGATCAAGGTCACTGTATTAACCTTTTAGAAACGGAATAGCGCGCACATACCTGGGGGTTGTAGGCGGAGGTTGGCAAAGCTCCCGTAAGTCTTTGTGTGAACCCACTAAATTTGTAATACATTTTGGTAATTTGTGGTAACCGGCGAGGATGAGGTGAGAGTGACCGTCGGGATGCAATGGCGCAACTCGAACCCGGCTTTTCGATTGCGTAAGGATTTGTCGCGCGAATATGACGTCATTAAAGCTGAACACGGCTATGAAGCTGGCCTGTTAAAATTTAACATAGATATTGTCCCTCCCTTGTTATTTCTGTAATAACCATTCTGAAGACACTACCCATATCTTTTTTACATGCAATTTGTCCAAAATCTTCTGGATATAATTTCAGGACTGGTTTATAGAAAATGAGGTGGTTGTTCATGGTTTTGCTTTTACTTTACAGTTTACAACATAGGCTATTTTATTTGGAATTCCCAAACACTGCTGTGTTATTTTTTTTATTTAATTAATAACAATGAAATAATGGCAAAATATATCATTAACAAATGTCGATTTTTTTAAAATCCCTCCCACTATTTGTAGTGTTCAAAAACTGATTTAAAGTGTTTTTCTGGAGCCCATGAGGAAATGAGAAGAGGGAGTGAGATGAAGCTGCTTGATCTTTTGATTTCATATGATTTGCTGTGACATTGCACCTTAATTTTAAATGTTAACTTTTATTTTTTTAACCCTTTTTTAGATTTTGTTAATCTAAGATATGATTTCAAATTTGTATTATTTTTGGTTAAACTCTGTTGAGCCTTTCGTTTGATATTATTACGTTCTGTTGAAAGAATACATTTGCCTTGGTTGAATGTATTTGTTTTCAATAATTTTTTTTTTTTTTTTATTAAGCTGACCTGTTAAAAGTCAGAAATAAACAAGCCCTGGGATTTTGTTTGATTTCCTTGATAAATATAATTGATTATAATATTTTGTTAAATCATCTTTGTCAAATTTTATATTTGTTGGTAGGGCTGTTTTGTGTTTTAGAAGGCTATTAGGCTATCTTTTGAGCGCCTGTCAATCGATTAAAAAAATTATGTAGTTCATTTTTTATACATAATTATACACTGAATCTTCAAATGAATGTTAACAACATTAAGATGATAGCCTATTATTATTATTATTATTATTATTATTATTATTACAATCAGTGAAGGCCAGTATCACAAATAGCAATATTTCCACTAATTAAAATGATTTTTCTCAAGTACTAACGATGAAAAAATTAATTATAGCCTTTCAAAATTACAGTATAATTGAAACCCATCCTTTTGATCATTTAGAAAAATCCTTAGTGTTGAGTACTGCTATATTTTTCCCATTATATCCACATGAATAAATGCATAGATCCGCGGAATATGCTAGTGTACAGTAGGCCGAGTGGTCTGGTGATTAGAATTTTCACCAAGCGTGTCAGAGGTTACGGGTTTTAATCCACACTACTCGTGTAGGTTTATGTTTTTTTTCTCATTAAAACCGAATGTTCCTTAGTGGTTACACTATATATCAAGCAGGGACATCTTTGTGTGCATTTTGTTTTGTGATGATTTCAATGGAATGAACAGTCTCCACAATAGTCCTATATAATGTGATAGCATGCCCTGCTATTGTCACAAAAGGTCAACATGTGTTCAGTGATCTCTGTATCTTGGCGAATAATGCTGGACGAATGTTTTATTATAGCCAAAGGTGTTGTCACGTCTGGTTGCACCAGGATGAAATAAAAGCACAGGATTTAGTTGCAGCAATCTTCTCTTTATTAAACAAAACAAAATACTCAAATCATTGTCTAGAACCATGGGCAGAGAACAACCAAACATAATAAGACGAGAACAGACCAAGAACTGAACAGAACACAGGGGACAGGGAGATCATTAGATCACACTAATCAACTAAATGAATGAGACACAACGTATAGCCTACATAACTAATCAAACAATAAGTAACAGAAGCAGGAACAAGGAACAGAGCAAAACCAAGGCTGCATCCGAAATTGCAAACTCTCTTGAGGGAGTAGGCCTACTTATTATAAATAAGTAATTACTTCACGACTGTTAAATCAGCATATTCTATAAATGAATGTGTCTTATATGAATGTAATTAGGACGTACTGCCATGTTGTCATTATCATCTACCAGTGTGTCAGTAGCCACCAGGCCGCTTAACTGCCCTTCGTGAATCCTCTCCCGTTGCCTGATGGGATAGTAAAGTGTCCACTTCAGAATCTCCGGAAGTAGTAGGTCACCTGGGTACTTGGTACTTTTTGCCTACTCTTATATGAGTAGACAGTATTGGCATACTAGGTGTGGGATTTCGGATGCGGCCTAAAACTTAAACACATAACCCTGACAGGTGCCTGTACAGAAATTGCTTTTCAAAAATAAAGCCACCCTAATATTCACTGGAGTAAAAACTGGCACCTATAGACACAGTCATCCTATTTAAAACATTCAGAGGTACTTTGTCTTTGCTTAACATATTTCACATTTGTGCCACATTTTACATTCTTGTATTATAATTAGTTAAACAATCAGGCTTGAATCAGTAAACATTTCTTTATTTTCTTCCTAGACATAAATAATCTTGTCTTTACCAAATAGAATACATTTTAGGTTACAGAATAGAGCTACATAAGATTTCATTTGCATCATCATGACCCTTTAAAATAGCCACAAATACAGCTACAAAATCAAACAGCTATGAAGGCGTGTCTCCATACAGATGCAAAAATAAACATTGTGGTGTGACGTCAACCAAGCAATGTTTCTGCCATTAAGAACCCAACACTGACATGACGATTTAAGCTAAAGACGAATGATGTCATTATAGGATAACCTGAATTAATCAATGCACTCTATCTTAATTTAGACATTATCATCAATTTAGCTGAAGAAAATCTGTATCATATAGTCAATATGTTTCCAAACTGTTCTTGGTGCTTAATGAAATACTTTTATAAAATTGACTGTTAATAAATCATATCATGTGCTTCATATCTTATTAATTACATTTACAACCCCAAATATTTTTTTTTTCCTTCCAAGAAACTCAGAAAGTCCCTTGAATGAGGAAAAGAGGTTTGATTTTGTGCTTGTATTCAAAGAGGAAGAAGGAAGCGAGTGACAGCCCTCCTACTGGTGAGCGTGTGGGTGAGGTGTTTGCTAATCAATTTAGTTCACGCCTCTTGATTCACACTGTCGTTTATGGACAGGTTGCAGACTTGTCGCTGTCTGTATGAACAGCTGATGTTTGTTTTTTGTGGCTTAGTAATGTTAACTATACCATTCTATGAGTAAGACCTTTAACTTAATTTGAGCCTGCACATTCAACAGTGTCAAAACAATCACAGTATATTTGCTTCTATGTGGCCACTCTAAAACCTTTTACTTTTGCCACTTTATTGGGAGCTAAATTAATGATTTAGCAAGTCAGAGGGACCTCTCCATGGAAACATGAGAATTTGTGTAAGCTCCTTCTAGGCTGGAGCACTGACAGGACACAAGGTCCCGCCAGATGCCCGTTCCAGGCAGCCTGGCCATCTGTAGTCGTCAAATGCCACAGTTGTCCATTTCATACACTGAGAAATTTGTATTCGTTCACACAGGAAGGGGGGTTACGACACAAACATTGGCTTATGTATTTCCTTTGGATGGTAATTCTTTATTGTGCACTAGTCTCTTTTGTCCTGTTCTGTCCCAGAGCGGACAGAACTGGTTCCAGAAATGACTGCAATTGTCAACGCCGATGTGTCCTTGAGTACAGAGGTACTTGTGTTATTATTTGGATATAATAGAACGCTGATTCCCCCCCCCCCCCCAAAAAAAAACAGAATAGCGCTATATTTTCGATCTTGGTACAAAATAAAGGCACAGAAGAGCAGGTGATGTTGCTAAGCTGAAGACCAGCAGGTTTCAGAGGATCTCATGACGAACTGTGCGACAGTCAGTTGAGAAACTCGGAGGAGAGACTTCGCACGCAGCGTGCTGAGCGGAATTTGAGTTCTTGGTAGCACTGCACAAAGCTGTGGTAGATAAAGGTAATGGGCAGAGCCAGCAGCACAATGCCACTCACAACGCACACGCCACCCAGCACGCGCCCCGGAATGGTGATGGGATACATGTCTCCATAGCCGACGGTGGTCATGGAGATAATAACCCACCAGCAGGCTGCCGGGATGCTGGCGTAGTCCTCATTGCTAGTCTCCAGGTCAAGGCCGTGCTCCAACAGCTGTGCCAGGGCGCTGAATATCGCCATTGCGACGCAGACAAAAACCAGCAGCATGACCATCTCGCGGTAGCACCTGCGCAGCGTCAGTCCGAGCGTCTGCAGCCCGAGGAAGTGACGCGCCAACTTGATTAGCCAAAAGACGCGCATCATTCGTAATACACGCAGAGTGACTCCCGCTCGCTGTAGCTGAGGGTTTTCTCCCGTCAGCGCTGTCATAGCGACAGACACATAGTAAGGAGTGATCGCCAGCAGGTCAATAATATTAAGGGGGCGGCGCACAAACTCACATTTGTCCCGTGAGACAATGAAACGCACTATGCACTCGGCAGTGAACCAGCCGATGCAAACCGCCTCGATAATCCTGTGTGAAATGGGGAGAGTAGAGAGAGAGAGAGAGAGAGAGATATGGGAAGAAAAACACAAAGAGAAAGAGGTTATGACAGGGATATGATTACATTTGTTTTGTTTCTGGGTTCAGAGCTAGTTAAGCTCAAGTGACAGCATTTGTGGCGTAATGTTGTTTTACCACACAAACAAACATTCATTTCCACTCCTCTCTTCACTCTAGGAAAAATAAAAGGCTCAGTGGGATTCTATACAGAACCTTAGGGTTCTTGGCTCAATTTTAAAGAACCCTTTATAACAAAAATGTTCTATATAAAGAGAAAATTATTGCATAATACTTTTATGTTTAACATGATTTAGTTTTTTTTAAAATAAATTAAAAACAAATCCATAACTAAATCCTTTTGCAAACACCTAGAAGGTTCTATATGGAGTGCCTGACATAATCTTTTAAAAGGTTAGTACACCAAAAATGAAAATTCTTAAGACTCTTAAGTTTGCAGCCCCCCTTTGCAACTTCTCAATAAAACAAGTTTGCAACTCTCAATAAATCTTCGGAACACAAATGAAGATTTTTGTCCCTCCATTGATAGTCTGTGCAAATATTTGTTGCTTAAAGGAGTAGTTCACTTTAAAAAAAAAAAAAACTTTTGCTAATAATTTACTCACTCCAATGTCATTCAAGATCAGTCGAAAAGAAATTAAGGTTTTTGATTAAAACAGTCTCCATATAATGGACTTTACTGGTAACCAAACGGTTTCAGTGCAAACTGCAAACTGTTCAAAGGGCTTTAAACGATTCCAGACGATGAATAAGGGTCTTATCAAGCGAAGCGATCGCTCATTTAAAAAAATAACATCGTTTAAGTCGTGAACGAATTGACTCGGGAAAAGATTTGTTCATTTTGATGAACAAGTTCAAACTGGAGAGTCACGAATCTGCATCACAGAACAGAGCAAGGCGACCATTTGAGCTTATAAAACTTAAAACTTTGTTATTTTTTTTAAATGAGCGATCATTTCGCTTGATAAGACCCTTATTCATCGTCTGGAATTGTTTAAAGCCCTTTGAACAGTTTGCACTGAAACTGTCTTTTAGACCTTGAACTGTTTGGTTCCCATTGAAGTGCATTATATGGAGAAAAATGCTGGAATGTTTTCATAAAAAACCTTAATTTCTTTTTGACTGAAGAAAGAATGACATGGACATCTTGGATGACATGGGGGTGAGTAAATTATCAGCGAAAGTTTTTTTTAAAGTGAAAGAGATCGTAAAACTCATCCATATGAATTGAAAGGTTTAGTACAAACTTTTCTGAAGAGACTCAATCGCTTTATATAATGAACATTTAGGATTTTATTCACATATAAACATTCATCAACTCACAAATCAGTTGTGGTAAACAGGAGTTCAAGCATGTTTGCTTGAAGTGTGAGAATCAATGAGGTCCATTCTCGTGTTACGCAACACGTTTGAGCTTCTGCAAGAGGTTTGTTCTCGTGCGTCAAGCAGGTTCGGTTGAGCTTCTGTTTATGTTCACAGATCAATGTTAAAATCTATTCAATTAAAGTGATCGAGTCTCTTCAGGAAATTTAGACTAAACTCATAAATTCATATGGATTTGTTTTACGATTTCTTTATGAACTTTTTGAAGCGTCAAAGTTTCAATGGCGTAGCTGTCAATGGAGGGATAATTGTGTTTCGAAGATGAACATTTCTTAAGTGTGTGTTTATTTTTGTTTTCTTTTTCTCTTTCTCTTCTTTTTCTCTGAGCTTTGAAAAGATTGCTTTAAAAACGCTATATAATTATTATCATTTAAAAATGTAAAATTCTAGGTAACAGTATGGAACTTACAATAAAAGTAAATGGGGCCAATCTGAATCTGTTATCATTAAAATACTCACTGTTTCAATAGTGATAGCCACAATACAAGCAATGTGCATTTTAACACAAATTTGTAAAAAAAAAAAAATAGTACATTTAGTAAAAAAAATAACCTTATCTGTGTAACGTTCTATCCAATTTTATCCAACTTTGTCAATGCAACTGTAAAACCCTAAATCAACAAATTAATGGAATTAGAAGAATTAATGTAAGTGCTTTTACATAATTACGGTTCACACATGTCTTCCTTAAAAAATTGGGCCCATTCACTTCCACTGTAAGATTCGAACTGTAACCTTGATTTTTTTTTCTTTTTAAGAAATCTAAACATTTTTTGTGAGGTATCAACCTTATGCCACAAATGCTGTTTATTCAGATTAACTTATAAAACCTGGAATATTTCTCTACCAAACACTCTCAAGAATATTATCAGTGAATGTGAAAATAATAACCACTAAAATTGTCACAAAAAGTAGCCTTCAAGTAAGTTTTGGCTTTGTTATTTAAGTAAACAAGTCATGCAAAGTGTTTAGATCAGATTCCATGCAGCCATGCGGTCAATGTGCTTTCTATTGAAAATGTCCTCTCATTCAGATCGTGTAAACAGCTCCAGTGCTTTGTTGACAGTGTCAGTGTCTATGGAAGCTGAAAGTCAGGAAGTTATGCTTGCTCAGTTCCTTGAACTTACGATCCCTCCAAAAAAATAAAATAAAATAAATATATAATATTTTTTACATTTGAGTGAGTGCACATTCAACTTAATCTCCTTTTAATATTTGAACAAAAAATAGATGCCCTGAGGATGGTCTTTAGCTTTTGACCGAAAGCTTGGTGATTTGCTTTAAGATTCAAGTGTTTGAACAGTTTATTTCTTTTTTGAGATTTCTAGTCTTTAAAGACAAATAAAGAATTTGCTCTTTCACTCTGAATGGTTTTACTGTAATGTTCAAAGCCAATTTATAGAGCTATGATGCACTAGGAATTACAGTGATGACAACTGTTTTGGGCATGAATGCATGTAAACAGGGCAAAGAATACTGAGAAATAAGGGAATAATGTACATGTGCCTAGAAAATGCTTAACAGTTAACAGCAAGTGCATATATGCTAATCATTCCTCAGTAGGCATGATGAACATACAAACTATACATTTGGACCTCTACAGGCAATGAATGAACGGACATTTAAAGATGAATACAAAGCATGGGAATGATATCCACATTTTTGAAAATACTGTAAGACTGCATGCATGAAAAAACAAACTGGGTTTATTTCCAGCTCGTCACACACATATGAGAACATACCTGAACCCTGAGACAAACAGGGACCACTGTGGGAAATGGAATCAAGACTGCACTGGATACATAAAGAAAAAACCTTATGCCCTACTCACAAATACTTCCAGACAGAGAGACAGAGACAGACAGAGAGAGAGAGAGAGAGAGAGAGAGAGAGAGAGAGAGAGAGAGAGAGAGAGAGAGAGAGAGAGAGAGAGAGAGAGAGAGACGGCGACAGGAGAATTCACCCAAAATGACAATATGACCCAATTCAGCGAATATGAAAACATGACTGGAATTTTTATCTCTGATGGAGAGAACCAGGAAGATGTCATGTTCCCATTGGATGATGATAAAATGTATGCATAATATAGATAATAGAGATTTAATGGTAATACTTTCTGGTCTAAATGCAGGGAAGACTTAATTGGAACACCATCAGTTTAACCAATAATGTAAGGGGTTCAAATTCAAATATATGTTCAAGTTCAAACTAAATCAGCACCCACCTGAGGTCACAGTAAAAAAAATATATATATTATTTTATTAAAGATATGGATCCAAGGGTCAGAAAACAATGTTAAGGTAATAAAATAGGCTAATTTTCATCTGGATTACAATTTGGTTTGTAATCATGTTAGTATGCTAAATGTAAATATGTGTTTATGATCACTAGGTTCTGTTGTTTAATTTGATAGCCTATATAACATCCACGCAAGCTGAGCAAATAAGGTTAGTAGCACTACAAAGAAAACACAAAATGGCAGCGTTCATATTGAGTGAATGATTCACAAACACTATCTATTACAGTTGTTTTTGTTTCATTTAGGACACATGTAACAACTATGTAACGTAAGAATTTAATGCATGGACAAATAAAAAACTCCATGTTTTCGACTGGTGTTACTCGATCCTGTAGTGAGATTGATTGTAGCCTACTATTGTAGGCTACTTCATATTATTTTGCACAGTATGGGGAATATAGACTCGTCTAATTTAATCTTAATTTGTAGCAGACAGATATGAGATTAGTATATTCAAAGTTTGAGACACATAACGCAAAAAATAAGTTACAGACGCCGAAACGAAATGTGTTGTTATTACAACAGTCCCCGGTCTCCCCTGCAGAGCTCATAATGACGTCAGATATTTTTGGCGACGTCTACTGGCCAAAGTACGTCAATTAGAAAACAAATCACCATCGCAATACTTCGCAGCCATCAACATGCGACTAAATGGCGTTTTTGTTATCAATAAAAAGTATTGCTTTTCCAGTAATATGCCTACATGTAGCCTAAATAGGAAAATAATCAACAAAAATATATAAAAATGGCAATTGCATTTTAATATAATTGTATTTAAATTATAGCCTATTCAAAGTGTCCTGATTGATCACGTCATGATTTAAAAGTCCAAATCCATCCTGTCAAAAACACACTTATTCAGATTTCAGCTTAACTTTCATGTCAGTGTTGCTGCTTTCATTTTTAATGGGGAAAAGATGCGAATGGAACTCGCAAAATACATCTGAGATCACATGTGTGCATATTCCTTAAATTATATATGGAGCTAGCTATGGAAGGTGGTCATGCTCATAAAACTGAGCTGTCCTGTGAGAGATGCACCTCGTTTTTAATGAATTTGTGCGTATACCACAGACCACATAAGTTGAACTCATGCATATACCTGTGTTCTTCCACCGTATTGTTTTTTGCTGTATCCCAGTCCGGCAGAGTGCTCGCACAGAGGATGACCATAGACATAATGACAAAAATCACTGACACTGATGCCAGGATCTGCGCAGCGAGAGAAGAAGCAGGCTCCTCAAAAGTCCTCCTCATCCTCTCCAGCCACCGCGCGTTCCCTGTCTCCGGGGCGAGCCTGGTGACCTGATCCTCCTCACTTCTGGACTCCACCTCTGCCTTGATGTCCTCCTCTGAAACGTACGTGTATGTGTCGGACATCCTTTCCTCCAGTCTTCTCTGGCAACAAAACTCCAAATGCGAGCTCTCCAACCCCCAGTAGATCATCTCGTTGTAAAAGGAAAGCTCGCACATCTGCGGGACAAACCTTAGCTTTCCAGATCGGACATAAAGCATAATAAAGACAAACGCCTCAGAGTGCCTGTCGAAGAAAAACTCGTTCCTCTCTCGGTCATAATCATCGCATACCTCCAAGACCTCCTTTTCAGAGGAGCAGCTGTGAAGTCTGCTCACTCTTCGGAGGGGAAAATCCTTGATAACTTCTCTTGTGAACGCATACTTGGTGCCACCGACGTTCAGGATGCATATATTCTTTCCAAACTTCATTTTTGGATCAGATTGACTTAATCGATTCGAGTGAAAAAGAGAGAAACGACGTGCAATATGGATTAATGACGTTGACGGTCATAGTTAAAATCCAATAAATTTCTGTAAGCACGAGAAAAAAAGAACAGCTCCAAACTCGCGAATCCAAATCAGTATAGGCTATGCCAGATTATAACGGGATTTTATTTATTCCAGGTTGAGCGCGTGTCACTTAGGAGAACCGTGGAAAAGTGACTTGTTTCTTTGTGCATCATCGAAACTCCAGCCTTCAGTGGGCTGTTTCACACAGTGATGTCACAGATCGACAAGCCTATTGCGCTCTCGATCATGAGCTTCCGAGGACGGGCGTTCCCAAACGAAAAAGGTTTTTTTTTTTTTTTTACGATGCATGTCTGAGATTTACAAGTGAACTTGCTACGGTTGATGAAGTAGACCCTAGGGGACATGTCACGTTGGGGAACTCAATTAAATATTCAATATTAAAAATCAATGCATGTTTTTTTCCCCCTATTGGCTGTCCAGCCACACCTAAAACTACAATAACACCTTGAGCCCTAGCAGTGTTATACAAAAGAGATTAATTCATTTAGTAATTTAGATAATGTTCAAGAAGTGAAACTATCTTATTGCTTTTTATAAATGCTTCCTCTCGGCTGTTTAGATTTATAACTGACTGACGAGTCCTTTTCAATGAATCATTCCAACAGGTTACCAACACTTTCTGAATCGATTCGCGATTCAGCCTGAATGATTCGAACAGCTGACTCTGCATCTTGCTACTGTGGTTTACACTTCACAATAAGGTTTTTAGAAACCTTTGATTATCTAAGGTTTATAAATGCTGTAAACATGTATTGCTCATAATGCATTCATATTCATTGAGACACTGAGACATTTAATTAAAGTGTTACCATTACAATGTAGAGTAGCTACCATCCTTGCTTCCCAGAGTTAAATCTATTTATTAACAATTTTAAAAAGCCTTACATTATTAGAAAAAAAAATAAAAAGCCTTAGCCTACATTAAAAAAATATATGTTTATTATTTTTGATATGGATTTTGTAATGAAAGTAGGCTATACATGACCAAGTTTGATTGTATCTTCTGTGTAAACAAACAAACAAAACAAAACAAAAAAAAACAAACAAAAAAAACAATCATGAGTGTCAAGTTGAGGGTTCAGACTATAGATTTCATTCACCCTCCTCCTTTCCTCCCTCCCTCCTCTTTTCTCTCCTCCTCTCATCATCAGGAAGCTGCTGCGCTCGAGCCTTTTCTAGCGCGTGAGTTACTGTATTGTACTGTGAATCTCGGGAGGGGGGCTGCAAAAAATCTCCTATTCTTACAGAGGTCCATCCCCCGTACCTATAACATCTTAAGCCAGTTTGCTTTATAACAGGTCACAGGACGTAGATGTCTTTTTGATTCACATATTTATTTTGTTTTTATTTTAGTTTATGGTTTGGTTTTTTAACACTCCGGGAGGGCAGAAATGGCGGCCAACATGTACCGGGTCGGAGGTATGTCCGTCTATATTCTGAATTAACGCAAGTCAAAACACGGGCACCGTCGCCAGACCTGTCTGGGAGGCAGGGGTTCATTTCAGCACTATTCCTGCAACCGGCCGCTCACTTTTAAATTCTTAACACGTGGAGTGTCCTTGCAAAAGAAAGCGATAACGTGGATGAGAATATTTTGGATTCTGTTGTGGGGTCAGGCCTCTTAAACTATCATAGCCGCACTAGCATTTTAGCAAGCAGGCTATGTTGCTAGCTAGCCACATCATAAACAAATAATCACATATGTAAAGCACATGGGATTACTCAAATGTTGCACATTTCTCTTGGTTTTGTCCATAAATGATACAGATCCAGATATGCTAGCGACCTGGCCATGCCTATTTTTGACGCCGATGTTTTTCTTTGTGATCATTTGTCTCATTTTTTGGCACGTATCCATTAGTTACGGGTCCTCATTCGGCATGCAAGGTAGCAACGCGAGCTAGCATAAAACAACAACCCCCTCATTCGGCTTTCCACAGAGAAAGCATATTGAGCTTCTGCCACTTATTCACTGAAACATTATGGATATGCACTATTTTGAGGTGTATTTGTTGTCATGTATCTAATCATCAACATGTCTCCTATAAAACCGCCGCGTCGTTTGTTTGTGGCATAGCCGGCTACATGATAGTCACTGCCGAGGAATTTGACATTGTTTCATGGCGTCGTTAATTCAGTGCCATTGTAACAGATTTTGCAGCTTGAGCATTTTCTCAATTAATTAAGTGGACTGTCTGTGTGATAAATTATTACATTGCATTGTTCAAATGTAACCCGTTTCTTGTGTGCTCGGTTATGCCGAAGATGTTATATGTATCGGAATGTGACTCAAATGACCATGAACAGGATTCGGTTGTTTGGATAAATGAAGTGTTTGTTTACGAGCATCGGACTGCATATTCTTCATTCCTATAGCTTTCTATGTGTATACCAAACCTAAACAGATTACTATTTTGTCAGATCTCAAATGTTGTTGGATATTTCTATAAACACACCATTGCAATGCAAGCATTACATTATAAAATGTACAAATTTTACTAATTTTCTTCATGATCTAAGGAAGCATTTGAGGTGTTATTTGAATTAAATGGTCGTTTTATCATCTTTAATGCCTTGTACTTTTTTAATACGTTATTCATTATTCATCATGTCAGTCTGTGAATTTTACCGTTCACATAAAAATAAGACCGTGGACAACTTTTTGGTGTTTGTTTTCTTATTTTAAACGGCAGGTCATAGCAGAAATCATCCTATGGTATCTGGCTCGAGTATATTGTTTTTTACCTGTAGCTAAATACACACAATTGTTGAATTTTCTGTATTTCTAGCCTGGTTTATTTGGACCGTGCACTTACAGGAAACGTGGTGTGCTGTTATGGAGTTGTATGTAGTGTGACATTTTAAATAGGAGAGATGCTTTTCCAGTTGTTGTTTTTTTGTAATGTGAATTTCAAAGTGACGCTTTTAAATTTCATCCAAGCCCCGATGTGTGGTTTTCATATTGCTAACAAAATAATCCAGTACTTTTTATCTTCTTCTACAGATTATGTCTTCTTTGAGAATTCTTCAAGCAACCCCTATCTGATCAGGCGAATAGAGGAACTGAATAAGGTACATTGGCCTCGGGGCTGGGAGGGAGAAATCTAGGTGGGTGGACGCTGGGTGTACTGGTAAATGGACTGCATTTATATAGTGCTTTCTTTCACAAACCCAATGGCCACCAAAGCGCTTTACATATTGCCTCACATTCACTCACTCATTCATACACCAATGGCGGTGTCCGCTATGCAAGTATGCAAGGCGCCATCCAGCTCGTCGGGAGCAGCTGGGGTTAGTGGCAGCTTGGGGTTGTGATGGCGCAGTGGATAAGACACATGCCTTTGGTGTGAGAGACCCGGGTTCGAATCCACCGCGAGAGACGAATGTGTCTCTGAGCAAGAAACTAGTTGCTCCAGAGGCGTGCGACCTCTGACATGTATAACAATTGTAAGTTGCTTTGGATAAAAGCGTCAGCTAAGTGAATAAATGTAAATGTTAGATGTCTTGCTCTGGACACCTGGTCAGGTTGAACCACCAACCTTCCGGTTTGTAGACAACCTACATGAACCACTGAGCCCCTACCACCACTACCGGTAGGGTGTCGACGCATCATTGTCACGACATCGATACAAAAAGCACAGCCACTTCACCCGTAGCCAAATTACTTGCATTTCTGTGCACTTCTCCCTTCGGGCTGTTGCATTTTGACTATCTCCACCACTTGTTTGTTGAGAAACTGTATCTGTGTGATCTATGGAAAGCTATTGACTGCTTCCAGGGGTCCCTTTAAGCCTAGTTCACACTACATGATTTTAAAATGTCGGGCTGAACTGTGCAGTTCACACTACATGACTTGCTCTCAGTGAAATCATGAGTGTTCAAGTTGTTAGCTGTTCACACCACACAACACAACGTGATTGATCCACAACAGGAGGTAACTCACTACACGAGTTAACAACGCACTACATAGAGATACAACCACGATCGGATGATAAGAGCATATCATTTGTGACTCAATGCAGCTGTTTCAGTACTATAATACGGTCTAAATCCTGAAAATAATCAAACAAATAACGAGTTGACAACAACACGATTCTATCTGGTCTAGAAACCATGTTTTGTAACGAAAAACCACGCAATAAAACGAACCAGAAATGACGCGAAACTGCAGAGAAGAACACAACACGCGAATATGGACGTCAGACAGAAACTAGTGCTGCACACTGTTTGCTCGACGATCTGCTCTGAGAAAAAAAATGCAAAAAAGAAAAAGTAAGATTTACCTGGTGTCCTCAACCCATGCGTTGCTATGATTGGCTGTACTCATGACATCACTGAGATTGAGTCGCGCGACTGCTCGAGATATCTAGCATGCTAGATATTTTTCTGAGCTCGGTGACCTGTCTGCGAGCTGTCTGCGAGCTGTCTTTGATGCGTTGTTGGCTCTTTCACACTAACTGATTGGCGAGCGTTAATCGTCCGCTAATCGCCCGCGATTTGCACGCGATAACACCCTGACTTGTCGGCGACTCAACGATTTGCAAATCGGGCTTAAATCGGGCTTAAAATCACGTAGTGTGAACTAGGCTTTAGTGAAGTAGGATGTATGGTGATGCCTGGTCCTGTACAATCATTTGTATGATCAAAGATGATTCAGCTCTTTAAATATTAAATGCTGAGGGATTTTTTTTTTTTAAGAAGCCCTGATTTCACATAATGCAAAATCAGTTCATTATGCTTTTGTTGTCAGAATGCTTCACTGCACAGTTGGCCTGTCATCAAATCTACTGGTGACGTGACGTGACGCACCTTTTTACATATTTGTCAAATTAGAGGATTCAGTTGTCAGGCAAATTCAGTTCGCGTGCAGGTTTATTTTGCTCTGGCCTTTGCCACAAGGTCTGTCGAGCATCCAAACAAATAATCTCCCTGTGGCCATTGAGATGCTCTGTCTGCATGATCCTTCTCCCACAACCTCTTATAGATATTGATAGTCCTTTCTTATACAATGGGATAAAACAAGCTTTGAGGGTTTATGGATGTGTGGTGAATTTTAATTTATTTCAGAGGTGTCGGCTTTACATCTACCGAGATTATTAATTTTTCTTTATCAGGAAATATTGTTTTATGTAATTAATTTCAGTTATTTTT